CAACCCCAGGGCCTGGAAGGTGGAGTTAGTGAGCTGAGAGAGGAAGTGGAAGGGAACAGCCAACTATTAATACAACTCTTTCTCTGAAGGGACGTGACCCTTTAAGTTGAAATTGCAGTTTGTTATTCCTGGGCATGGAACCTCCTATTTCAAAATAAGACTGGCTTGGGTAACTTAAGGTAACCAGAGAACTATTCCTGAAAGTAATAATGAGAATGTCATAGGACCTGCTAAGATTTCTTCTAGTGGCAGTGGAAAAACTTCCATTAAATAAAGTTGAAACGTAGTAAGAGATAAAAAAAAAAGAAGAAGCAATTTGGTGACGTGTCACAGGTAAAGCCCATGGGACATACTGGTTACAGGTAAGTGCTGTCATATCTAAATGTATATTCCTGTGATCATAATACAGTCCACGGCGGAAGTGACAAACCGGGATCTGACCCGATTATGCTGGGATTCTCCCATCAGATGTTCAAACCCCAAACAGAAGAAGCACGTCTGTTATTTTCAGGTCCCTTTGGTCATTCCTGGATCAAATTATATCATCTGACTTCATTTCACCAGCAGAGCAGGGAACAGCATGAGCCTGGGGACAGACAGGGGCAGAGGAAACAGTGCTGAAGAACAAGACATGAAAATTGCTTTGGGGAAATATGTTGAAATTAGGGGATTGGGGGCGGGCAGAGATGATGCCCGCAACATTCTTGGCGATTTCTTGACAAACAGAAACAACTATGTTCCTAAAGAATGATTCATTTCTTCACAGTTCATTTCATCACAGTTAATCTCTAACCCAAGACAATTTATCATTTTGTTCTTGTCAGCACTTAGAGGAACACTCTTGTCAGCCTGAGGAATATGGAGAAGATGAGTAGTCATCCTACCCATTGACCCAATCGCTTTTCCTTTCTTGCAGCCAGTACTGCTGTCCTATTTTTCATATGTGTATCCTACGTGAGATTTTTTGTTTTAAGCCTCCATCCTACTTTTAATTTCTCTTTAGTAAACCTTGACTGATGCTTCGATATCATACCTCAAAGTTTTACTGTTCTTCCTGCATGATCCACTGATTAACGTTTATACTTTAGCTAAAAAGTCTTTGATTTCTTTGTCATTAGGATTCCACTCAACTATGTCTGTCAAGTTTCACTTCTTTGGAAGGTTTCCCAAGTAAGTGGGCAGGAAAAAGACTAGAAAATAAATTTCTCTTTCGTGCAGTGTTTTGGATGTCTTCTGACGGTGGGCTATGTGTTCACCCTGCACCTAATACGCCCAAGGGTATTGGTAATCATTTCTTCTCCTAGCTATCAGCCAGTGACTTAATCACCTATGTATAGGTGTGTTAATACTCAGGGGCTTCTCCTATATTTCTGTAAAGTCTCGAATCCCTTTTTCGACCCACTCAGTCCTCTATTGTTTAAAATACCAAAATACTTGACTAAAGTGGGCCTTCAAGGAGCTACATCTAACCAAAGACCACCAAGAGGTGTCCAACTTATTTTCTTTTCTGCCACACATTGGAAGAAGAAAAGTTGTCCAGGGCCATACATTAAGAACACAAACACCAGTGAAAACTGATGAGCAAAAGAGAAAGTCTGTGCATACTTTTCAAGACACCACAGATAAGCAAAATAGTCCTCAAATAATCTGCAAGTGGCCAGCGGGAAGTGGGCTGGACATCCCTGTAAGGCAAATATAGGAATCTGAAAACCTGCCCAGGGACTCTGTAGACCAAAGTTGTTCTAACTCTTCCCTAGATAAGGACAAAAGGGAGACACAGACACATGATAGGAGACAGTTGAATTTCTCTTTATCACAGAGTCTTACTACTTCTTACAATAATAGTAAAATCATGATAGGAACTACTCTGTACTTTTCCCTGCCAAGGTAGGTAAGGAGTCTTTCCTCTACATTGGCCTTCTGTAATTGATTAACTTACCTCTGGGGACCTGAAAGGAGTCCTAGATTGTGTGCATCTGGAGGGCAGGGGCTTTATCATCTATGTATCTTTAGCTCACAGAAGAGTACCTGGAAACATTATGTGTATGACAGAATTGTTGTTAAATGAGTTTATAAAGCCAAGGTCTTAAAGATGACTAGACGTCAGGTACCCTTCTCCCTCCATAAACAGTCAAGAGAATTCTGGATGGTTCTGAATTTAGGAAATAAGTTTTTGCTAGGTTTCAACCGTTATGATAGAGTTTTCATGTTTAAAGAGAGAACCAAGATCCATTACATTGATCTCCTTATTTTTCATACGCAACTTAAGAATGAACTATCTACCTTCTTTGTGAGCCTAATGGAAAAACCGAACATTTTAATCTGAGATGTTTTGCTCAAATCCAGGTGTTGCTATCCCTCTTACAAAGTGAAGAACTTGGAGAAAAGTTGTTGAAAATGTTTATGAAACTAGAATACATTCATAAGCATGGCAATGCCTTTTGTTTAAGAAACATGGTGTTTTGATACTTTCAAAGTTGATTCATTTCCTCTATCTGTGCCCTTGCTACTTTTTGCCAGGAGTTGTCCAGGGGAGTCTCATGCAAATAGCACAGTGTGAGAAGTAATGTACCCGGTCCCTAGAAATAGAGAGGGCTAAAAGGGGAGAAGACAGGAGCTCTCAGTAAGTCATACTATTGTGATTAGCCCAGCAGAATATTTAGTATACACAGAGGAACGGTGTGGGGACACAAACTCTCCAAGAAATGGTAACATAATACACTTAAAAAGAAGGAAAATCCAAATTGAACAGGCAGGAATAGCTCCCTCAGATACATGGGTAATACACCACATTTAGAAAATAAAACTCCATGTGATCTTTGCCTTTTAAGAAGAAAAGGCCAGCTATTCTATCATACCTCTGACGTTAAGGAGTACATAGCTCTTGTGTGTTTTTGCTATATTCAGTAGACCAAAATGAGATAGCAGGTTAAAAGCCGCTTGGGAAAAGTAAAAAGCCCAGTAGTTTACAGCTTGTTTCTGAGGTTACTGATGGTTTCTTTACTTTGTACCAGGAAGCAGGCAGGAAAGCGGGTGGGCTGTGGAAGTGGATTTGCACACGTGGAGACAGATGGGAATCAAGGTGGCTGCCAGTGATGACAGGGCCCCAAGCCTAGGAAAGATGGCAGCGATGGAAGCTGTGGGTCCAGGGATGGGGCACAACCAGGACAGCCAAGTCAGGAAAGTGGGATCAAGTCGCAGACCGGAGCTAATGACACACCAGGTAGAGACAGCCCATCCTGGGCTCCAGACTCAGCATTGTGAGGGCTGGTTTTTGTAGCGCCTGGTAAAAGTGTCACGAATACTTTGGAATAACAATCAGGACAAATCAAAATGAAGCTGATCCATTAACATGTTCGTTATTTCTAGGAGTTTGGGCGCTCCCTCTCTCTCCCCGGAAGATCAGTCCCACCCACCATTTCTACAACATCTCCCTGGGTATACCAGCCCGCGTACAGTGACTCCAGCAAACCGACTGACCGACTAGAGAGAGCAAGCAAGAGACCCACGCCTTGGGAAGCGGCGGCCAAGTCCCCTCTGGGTCTAGTGGACGACGCCTTCAGACCCAGAAACATCCAGGAATCCATTGTGGCAAACGTGGTCTCGGCAGCTCGAAGGAAGGTGCTCCCAGGGCCCCCAGAGGACTGGGATGAGACACTGTCCTACGTTCCCCAATCCCAGAAGGCCAACAGGAGCGCGTGCGGAAGGCAAGAGTATGATAACCCGTCTGCTAACCCGCAGTACGGGGCACAGCTATCTGCTAACCCGCAGTACGGTGCACAGCTGCCCTGCGTGTATTACAGGCAGGGCCCCAGAAATGACTCTGAAGGGCTGGCCCTGGAGACCAGGTCTGATTACTCTGTGCCAGGAGCTGCTTACAACTACAACCTGCACCCACGTGGATGGAGACGCCAAACATGAATGTCCCAACCAACCCCGGGCCAGCTATTTTTTTTTTTTTATGTTCCTTTGTAGGGCTTTTTACCTTTTTAGTAGATTTAAGTTCACGTTTGTTTGTGGCTTGTTCTCACAATCATATTTCTGAGTCTCTGTGTGTGAGTGTACATGCACATGTGAGTGTGAATCACTTCCTTGTCGCCTAGTGTACAGAGACTGTCTCTGAAGAAAAGAATTACTCCCGGCCTTGATGTGCTGGCACTTACATGTAATTCACAATCTTAGTTCCTTTAATATGAGGGTAGTCTATGCCACTAAATTCTACGCAGTTAAAATGAAACTAAATATTTGTTCCACGTGCCTAGAACCAGGAAGGGACTAGGATACGGTGTGCTAATTATCATTCTCTGTACTAGCAAGACATATACCTAATGTTAGAGAAATTGTCAGAGGGAGCAGGGCAGTGAGTAATAATTATTCAAAAAGTTTTCTTCCGTGTTATTTTAGGCATCTCTCTGAAAAAAAATTTTTTTAAAAATCTAATAAAATTCGTATTTTTCAAGAATTAAAATATGGGAGTTCTCAGAAAGAAAGAAATAAGATTACTATACATTTCAGAAGGGCTTTTGAGAAATAGTGTAATGTGTGGGGAATAGAAAGATTTAGGTACAGGATTTGTTTCTAATGTGTTTAAAGCCAACAGCCTGAGACAGGAATCGACCATAGGTTCAGGTATCCTCATTTGCCAAAGGAGAATATGGGATTATCTAATCTCTTCCATCCCTGACAGCTCTGACATTCTGAGATTTTTCTCATTCATAGAATGTCCTTCAGTGCATTGTTTATTTTTGTTGTTCATCGTGTAAATATCAGATTCAGTTTAGGAGTGGATTAGGTAATTAGTGTCACAGCACGGCTCATTAACAGTCCCAAGGGAAATGGTAAGTGGCAGGCTTTGTGCTATGTGTTACATGGAGTGAGGGTTGACGCAAAGATAAAAACTATGAATGGATTTAAGGAAGAGGTAGATGAATATGTCTGTGATTATGCAACTGCAGGTCATGACCACTTATGTGGTTATGGGAGACGTGCCACAGAAGCCTATGTAACAAGTGGTACTTCTTCAGGAAGTCGTCATGAGGCTGCTCAAAGGAAGAGAAACAGCTGCTTTGTTAATCCCCTGTGCCCTGCCCTGTTAGCCTGACTGCAAAACAATCAGAACACCTGCTCCTTACTGCCATGCCTGCAAAGTGTTAAATACAAAAAAAATTCAAAGTATTTTATATCATAAGAAAATATCTAGAATATTTTTAAACTTAAAAAAAGTTTGGGTATTTAAAACTTTCTTAGTGTCTTAATATGATAATTTTGCTTTGTTTTATTTTTTAGTTCTTGAATTTATCATTAGGATGTTTTCTTTTAAAACGTAAAAAAAAAAAAAAAGCCAGAGTGCAAATGGTCAAGGCCTTATCTTGGAAGTAAAAATATAGTATTGAAATTCCATTAGTGATGGAACCAGGCAGATAATTTGTTCAGTTATGGAGGAAAGACAGAATAAGCACTTTCTAACGTTACAGTGTTAAATTATCTTAAAGTGATACAGAGCTTATTCTCTTAACGTATAATATATGATTATTGACTTTCAAGAGTTTCTACAGCATCTAAAATGTAATGCCTGGTATATAGCAAGAGGAAATTTCCCCCATAAAATCTTACTTGGTCCAAAATTTATTACAGTGATTGAATCATTTTAGATTTGAATGTTTTAAGATATGGGAGATTTAGCAGAAAAGATTTTGCTCGATGAGGCCATATTCTATTTTGTTGATTTCTTTCGTAAGTGCTAGGGATTATTTCCATCTGTTGTTTATATTATTCACTAAAATTTTCAGTAGACTCAAAATAGAAGCAGATGTTTTAACTTAAATATTATTATATAACAGATTTCTCCCCCTTCGCATGTATTAGGTCAAAGTTACCATTTGTATGAAGCTATCTGAATTTATTCTAGACTTCAAGAAAAAGTAGAAGGCAGAAAAGTTGCATATTTTTCACTCACCAGGAAATGAACATCTCATATTTTTAATAGAAATCAATGCTTTGAGAAGTCATACTTTGCAGATATTAATTCTGAAAAGTAAAAGTAAAAATATACTGCAGGTATTCTTCTCCAGTCTACCTGAAAATGAAAGAAGTTAGATTGCTTTACATTCAAGCTAAGGGTTGGGAGGTGACATCTGCCAGCTGAGATCTGATTGCGATGCATGGGATCTAGATAACAAGTGTTCTCACAAAAGTAAAATGAATTGGTCTTATCTTCTAAATGGTAGCACCTGGAGATAAGAGCCGCTGCTTTGTAAATGCACAGCATGTTTGTTGTAAGACACTTGTCTGTTAGTAGCAATCACAGAAATAGGAAGAGGTAGGGGATTACCGTGGATTAAACTCTTTCTCTAAAAGTAGAGTAGGCCAGTCCTAGGGACACTAATTTGGCACTGTTCCTCCGTCTTCAGTTCAAATATTGTATCATTGCATGTAAGTGTCCATTATTAAGATGATTTGAAATCTGTCCTGTAGTCTGAGTTTTATTCTTTTTGTAGTCTATTTCTCTATCACAGGAACATGTTTCTTACATTCTGTCACCATCATACACATTGGAAAAGGCCAACTTATTAGGTCTCAAGCATATGTATTAATGACTTAAAACTTTGGATAAAAAATTATATCAAATAGGGTTAGTTATAATTAGAAAGAAGTTAGAGAAATGTTTCTTAAGAGAGAATAGATTTTCACTTTTGACTTTTGATTTAAAGTAGAAGTATCAACACTATCCACACTTTTATATTAACAAAAGGCTATGTTCTGCTCATTAGATTGACCTTTCCACCTCTGTTTATCCCCAAAAGACTGTATTTGAAAGATATATACTAAAAATAAAACTTGTATTGGTAATAAAGTGTCCTGAAAGTCAAGTTGAGAAAACTTTTCATTTTTGCTCATAAAAAAAAAAAAAATTTGTCTCAAATTGTTCTTTACCCCAAAGAAGATTTACTCTTATCTGATACTACATATTTTTAAATTTTATTTTTCATGATAGCTTCCAGACATATGAAAAGAATTTCATGCTGAATGGGGCAACATTTTAACTGGAACATTTAAAAACTTAAAAAAAAAAAAAAAAACTGGCTC